TTTTATGGTATGTTACAAGCATCAATGCGTACAATTGATGAGTATTTACAAGATTATATGATTGCTATCTATGATCTTGAATTAAATCCAACTCAATTAAATATGGTAAAATATAATAAAAATTAATAATAATTTTCTAATTTAATAAGTAATGAAAAAGTATTCTGTCAAAAATTGAAAATCATATTTCTTTTATTTTACAAATGATTTGTATCTTTTATATTAAAATTTACATGACATAAATCTATGAAATCACTTACTGAAAGTATTAAAAATAGTCTAGTTTATGTTTAATTTTAATTTTGTTCTAAAATTCTTTTTTTTATCGTTTGTCCAATACTAATATTAATCTATTTCGATTTTTGATAAATTCTCTGTATTAATTGTTATTCTATTTCTTATAGCTAGCAGAATAATACTTAAAACAAAGAACTTGTTACAAATTGAAATAAGTTCAATGCTCTAAATGAAAACTGATCTACTTTGATCGGTGGTGACTAGACATGTGCGGGACCAACTTTTTTTGGTCCCGGTCCCGGTCGCGGTCCCGGTGAAATTAAATTTTTGGTCCCGGTCCGGTCCCGGTCCCGGTAAATTTTTTTTGGTCCCGGTTTGGGTCCCGGTGAAAATTTTCATTTGGTCCCGGTCCCGGTCCCGGTGGAAAATTTCCTTTGGTCCCGGTGGAAATTTTCCTTTTGCTGCTGATTCCGGTGAAATTCTGTTTTTTAGTCCTGGGCTCAGTTAACACATTCGCTACGATGTGGCCTAACAGTGAGCCACGCTACATTTTAACGAGAAACTGTATAGAAAAGTACTTTATTTTTCTTTGTTCTTAGACAGGAGGTTGAACATAAAGCTTTATCTGTTCTGCCTTCAGAACTCTTTTTGTGTCCGTTATTCCATAGCATGATGGGTCTTGTTAAAAAAATCAAGACAAAAAAAATTGTTACTCACAACAGAACGTTTTTACTTTCTTTGCTACCGCATAGCTCGCTTCTCTTGACTGTTGTGCCCTTCCTTTCGCAAAGCAGCCAGTACAGCGTCTGCGGACATTGCCCTTAAATCCTTCCTTTTCTTCGAGCTTGCGATTAGTGAATTCGCGCTTGAATTGGGTTGCTGATTCAACTTCTCGAATGGCATGTCATGCTGAAATGACCTCACAGGGGTTTCGCCAAACTACAGAATGGTTACTTCGCTACATGTGATATTACAAATGGAAAAGAGAAAACGACAGATTAGCATAGGATGAAAAGACCAAGCAGTGCATTTATCGCAAGATGAATGCAGACGAAAATGAATCTCTAGAGCTACTCTTTAATAAAACCGAATCGCGTCGAATGTGTTAAATTTGGTTTTTGTTCTACACCCAGTCTAAGTAACCTTACTTCTTCTGTTATTTGTCCATAGTCAGACAAGTTGTTGCGGAATCTGCCGGTTTTAGATCTGGAGCAGTTCTCACTTGTATTTCCGCCGATGTTTCTTATCAACGGCAAACATGACCGGGACTAAATTGTTTTTCGATCCTGGTCCCGGTCCCAGTAAAATTCTACTTTTGGTCCCGGTCCCGGTCCCGGTCCCGGTAAAATTCTATTTTTTGGTCCCGGTCCCGGTGGCCGGGACCGGGACCGGGACCGGGACTGGTCCCGCACATGTCTAGTGGTGACAGTGATTCAAAATTTTCGATGAATTTAAAAAGAAATTTCGAAAATTTTTTTGAAACGAAAAATAGACACAACAATGTTAGAGAACTTATTAATTAGTAACATTTGCATAAAAACGGATCTGCGACATTAAAAATCAAATATATACTTTGTATAGTAATGTTAGACACATACTAATAATATAACAGAAGAAATATGAATTTCAATTCTCTCAAAATACTTTTTAATCACGTTCTTATCTCAAAGAAAACATTTATTCTAACAAAAATATAAATTATAGAGTTTTAAATTTATTCTAGATCAAAGAAAACTGTGAAAGATGTACAATTATTCCATTTCCATTTACTCGAATCGAATCTGTGGCTCCTCATATTCGAAATTTACGTAATTTTGCTTGGAAACCAATCGTAATTCAGGTTGAATATTTATATTTAGAAAAAACAAAGCATAAATATTCATATATCTAGGATGCTGTACGACGTTTTGGTTCTATTATTTATGGTGATACATCAATTCGTTATAAAACATCAAAATTTGATCGTTTACTTATTGATAATCTCATACGTGGTTTTTCATGTCGTGAATTACCTGGACATTATCTATCACATTTTACTTTTGATGGAACATTTTCATGGTTTAATGAAACATCTTCATCATTTGATAATATATATATAGCTGAAGCAGGTTTTCTTGTTGTGACAGATAATTTTCTATCACGTCTTATACTTAAAACATGGGTTACATGTGCACTTGATGAGAATTGTATAGCACCATTAAAATCAAAAACTCAATTGACGCTTGGCATCCGACCAATAACAAAGCATCGTTATGATCAATCAGCTATGGTGACTATATTATCATTTTATTTTTTTCCAAGTTTACGTCAAAATGGTAAAAGTGATCCAGCACCATATGATATGTATACATCAATACAAGAAAACCTAGCAAAAGTTGAACGTAATAGAGCTGATAAACATTATTTTACAAGTAGAAAAAAATCTTAATTCATGACAGAACAGTTCGATAACAACTATAATAAAGCAGTAAATGTAAATTGTTTTAGTATTACTGTGATTGATATAATGATGAGGTAAAAGTTTGTTTTGTTATATTTTTTCTCAGTTAACTTTCTTTTTTTTTTTTTAAATCAATGAATATTAAAATTTTACAAAATGATAGATGAAACATAACAGATGACCAATAATAAATGAAAAAAGTTTGCATTTCATATTTTAATTACTAAATACATGTTATTAAAAAAAATAGAATATACGAATAGGATGCAACGTAAAGAGGTTTACAATTTACAAAGTAAAGTTTAGTTTAATTTTTAGATTGTACAACTTTTCACGTTGCATCTTGTGGTATATTTCAGTGTTCGACATGGGTCAACTTTTTAGTGACCCGACCCGAGGTCGAAACTGTTTTTTTTTGTCAAGAAAAACGAGTTTTTTCCACAGATTAACGATCTTTTCAGTATATCTATACAAACTTTCTCAATATTCTAAACAAAGAAACCGTTATCTCACGTGAAACTGCTGTTTCTCTTATAAAAAGTTCGAAATCGGTCAACTGTTCGTGATGCGACCCGAATCGCACACTGATATATTTTGTTGTTTTAATAATATGTATTCAGTGATTAGAATATGAAATGCAAAATTCTGCTATTTATTATGAGTCACTCATTATTTTTATCGAATTTTAGTTTAATCATATCTTATTATGTGTTGGATTCGCTCTTATCAAAGTGTTTTGAAATGCCTTCAAAGTCAAAAAAAAACAAAAACAAAAATCAGTTTTAACAACAACAACGACATTAATAATCTTTACTTCAGTGATCAATCCAATTGCAGTATATACTAGTTCGATGCAATCAAAATTGATCCAATAAAATCTTCAATCTAATATTTGAAATGAATGATGTTTGTTTTTGTAATTATTGAAAAAAACATATCAAGCATTTTATCAAATGCAGTGTAAAAATTATCTAATATCAATTATGAAATTATCATTTTCTAATAAACTTAAAAAGAGCTTCATAGTATATGAAGGATCCGTGGTGGTTTTTAGAGAAATCGATCCAATTAAATTTTAAATTAGATGTGGGTTATTCTTCTTCAATCAGCCACATTCAGATCGCATCTACACTTCACCTACACCCACACCCTATATAATGCATTTGTCATATAATAAGCATATACAATATCAACTAGAGATTAAAATGGAACGGAGGCGGAGTTAAGTTAAATCCTCGAAATCTCTCCGTGATAAAGTTTCACAATATAAATTTTCATCCATAGACCATATTTCTGAATTATCCATATAAACGGCTATGATGAAAGTCTTTGAATTACGTAATATTATCTAATCAAGATTTTCTACAGATCTGAAATTTTTAGTTAAACATCTATTGTCTCTGTTAAAGTCTAGGTTTATTCTGAGAGATGAATAAATAAAGAGTGTATCCAGAGAAGATCAACTATTATTGACAGACTATCTTCTCAAATTAGACACGATTTATGCACAATTAAAATTTGAAAGATATTATATAGCTGCTGTTTATCTTCCGCCTCCATTTGCTTAGTTCTCGAAAAAATACATTAAGGAAGTAACTATAATATATTGTAACAAGCCTTTACTGATATACAATTTATGGTCGTATATTAAAAACTAACATTATGATCTTTCAATGTTCAGCTAACGTTTGCCCACGGTCGATGATCAACTGCTAGGATGTTTGTCATAATCTAAATTTCTATATTATGTATTGTAACGCTTTTCTTATATCGTGTTCAACAAAATATAGAGAATTTTGTGACGTATTTATTTTCAAATATAAGTGTCATTTTAGTTCATTAAATAGTTTTCAATTCGATATTCAAATACACTATGAAGAGAAGAGAAACATATAGTCATTTTGTAGACATCAAACGAAAGTTTTACACAAAGTCTTACTAGTAAAGAAAAAAAATGTCTTAATATGAATTTTGAACGTGTTTTCATGGCAAAAAAGAAATATTTCAAATTTATTATTCAGTTGAAAGAAGTGATGAAGTGTAACAAGAAAACAGAGTTTGTAGAGCTTGAAATTTTCTAGCTGTTTTTTACCGAAGGAATTATTCTTCTGAGATCGATGTTTGAGAAAGTTGCTGAAGTGATGAAAAGATTGACAGCTGAACCTACACTACAGCCCATTCTTAGAAAAACTGAAGATATTTAGCAACATCAACCGTATTACTATTCAAGCCGAACACATGAGCAATGCGATTCAATGCTAAATCAACGTTCGAACAAGCCACAATTGAATTGAACAAATAAACACTCGAATTAATGACAATGAGTAGCATATTGCATTGTTTTATTGAAAGAATTTGCTTTTCGTCAAAAAATAGTTTTATTAGTGATTCAACATGGAACGATTCTTGAAAATTGTCTATGTCGTATTCTATTTGATTCTTTTTTTGACCTGTTTTAAATAAAAGAAATTTTTTAAATAATCCTACTATTAACAGTGTACCAATATTGTTTGAAATGCAAAAAAACAAACAAATATTGCACTTTTCAACATAAAACATAATTGAACTACCCATTCCTTACGAAAAATTAAAAGATTTAAATTTTTTGTTTTTTTATACTCACAATACGAAAAAATAATTATTTGAATATCATCAAAATCTCTACTTAATTGCAAGAACAAAAAAAAACAACAACTTTTCTTTCAATAAATTTATTCGCTTGAGTTATATATCGCTCGATAAAAGTATGAAAGAAACAATAATTTGTCTATTGTACAAGTCTTTCATTTGTCTAGATTTTTCAGTGAAAAATAAAAAATCAGGTTAGATTTTTTTTTTTTCAAAAAATACTAATTAATTAGCTCTTCTAAATATAATAAATTCCTATCTTCTTTAATGCCATTCTGAATGCAAGAGAGAAAACCTTTCTTTTTTTTTTGCCATAAAGATTATCTTTTTTTGTCTTCTCATTAAAAGACAGGAATTTATTATATTTAGAAGAAGTAGTGATCCCATACAGAAGTACATTATTTTGTAGAGAATTTAATTTTTTTACATATTAAAATTTTGGAAAAAAATACTCTAACTTGATTGTATTTACATAATCAAATTCGAATTATAGATTATCTAATCAAATAAAATATAGATGAAGTTCAAGATAATGATATAGAAATTGAAATTATCATATTAGTTTTGTTCATTATGTATTGAAAAATTAAATGAAAAGTTTAATCAAAATTTTTGTGTTTTTACTTTAATTATTCATGGAAACATTTATGTGAAATGGACAATTAGAAATAATGATGAGAATATTATAAAAAAAAAAACTCATGTTAATGACCAATTACATAGACTAATCAAAAAAAAAGAACTACAATAATTGGATCGAAATAATCGAAAAAAAATGGAGTTAGTGACAAGTAAGAAACAAATATAGATAATGACGACATTTCTAATAAACATACAGAAAAAGATCAATAAAATGAAAAAACTTCAATAAATTTCAAGATTTCTGATGGAAAATTGTTAGCTTTTTTAATGTT